ATGAACCAGTGCATAGTCTGTGTCTCAACATATAGTTTTATATGATTCCTATGTGAAAACCCTTCCTAAGTCAGTGTGATCTACACTCTCTGTCATGATTCAATTTAGTGGACACGACCATCTTCAAACATGTAGTGTTTCAGCACAGTATCATGAACACTAACTTCTTCCGTTCTATGCATATGAATGCACGCTGATTCGTGATCAAGATTCGTTTCTTCTGTGGGTTGTACTTAAAGGAGTTTGGAGATCACAGTCCCAAAAGCTTTTTTACATTCCACTTGTTCAAACAGAATATAATTTCCATATGGGAAACAAGATTAGAGAGGAAAGGGAAACAATGGCCTGGGGTCAGCATATCTCATAGTCAAGGGAACAGGAAGAGCCTGGATGTGGGTTTTGGAAGTCAAAGGCTTGCCGGGCGGTGGTGGCTCACACCTTTAATCCCAGCACTTGGGAGGCAGAGGCAGGAGGATCTCTATGAATTGTAGACCATACTGGTCTACAAGAGCTAATACCAGGACAGCCTCCAAAGCCACAGAGAAACCCGGCCTCAAAAAACAAACCAAAACAAAAAGTAAAGAAGTCAAAGGCTCAACCTGATGTCCTCCGATTCGTGAATTCCAAAGCTGTTACCTGCTCTGACATACTAGCATCCACAATTCCTGGAGGGTTGGCAGATGGGCATGCCCACATGAGTGGCTTCCTCTTGATCTGACCCTTGAGTGGTTGGGTCAGAGTTTAGGGACACTGCTGCCCCTGCCAGGACAAAGCAAGAGTAGGCAGGAGACTCTTCCTGGAGGGCTGATTGTCACTGCTGCTGGCAGGACTGTGTGGAGAGGATGTCACCCAGGGATCACAAAGAAGTCACACTGTCTGTGGGGAGGCAGAAGGCATACAGGGTCTCTGCAGTTTGTTCTCTGTCTTTGACAAAGCACGGCTTCTCTGAAAGGAGCTGGCATGGCAAAGGGCACCCAGAAGGCACTGACGACATGGGTAATTGGATGTCACAAGGAAGCTGTTTCGTTACTATAGATCTCAGTGCTCACTGAGGTTAGAGTCTTAGATGTTCCCATCATTGTCCTAATACTTTATTCTGTGCATACTTGACTTAGTGGCACCCACAGGTTCATGTCACTCCTTGACCTGGGAATCCTGGGATTTCGTCGTCCTCGTCGTCCTCCTCCTCCTCCTTCTCTCTTTCTCTCTCTCTCTCTCTCTCTGTCTCTCTGTCTGATTCTCTTCTTTCTTTACATGGTAGCTTGAATAAGAATGCTCCTAATACATTTGAATGCTAGTCACCAGGATGTGGCACTATTTGAGAAGAATTAGGAGGTGTGGCCTTTTTTGGACTAGGTGTGGCCTTGTTGGATCATTGGAGGAAGTGTCACTGGGCATTGGCGTTGAGGTTTTGAGAACCCATGACAGGCTCAGCTCCACCTGCCTCACTGCCTGTGCGTCAGATTATAGCTCTCAACTACTCCAGCACCCTGCCTGCCTGCAAGCCACCATGGTCCTCACCATGGTGATAATGAACTAAACCTCTAAAATCATAAGCAAACCTAGAATTAAATTTTTCTTATAAGATTTGCCTTGGTTGTGGTATCTCTTCACAGCAACTGTGACTAAGACACCTCTCTTCTCTGCACCTTGAATCCAGAAGTCAAGGAGTTGAACATCTTAGTTTAATCTTGATGCAAGACAAAAATTAGAGCCTCATGCATGCAAGCCTGCATTTTAATGCAGAGCTTTGTCTCTGCCTCTCACATGACTTTTGTTTGCTCTCATTTTTATATCTTTAATAATTCATATTTTAGTATACAACTTAGAAGAAAGGAAATAAAGAATAGGGCCCTACATCTTACCTTAAAAGGCAGATAATAAGTTGTTTTATTAAAATGTTTTCATTTAGCTTATATACCAATGACAGTTTCTCCTCCTTCCTCTCCTCCCATTCCCTCCTTCCCTCTTCCCATCTCCCTTCTACCCACAATCCACTTCTCTGTCTCCAAACAGAAAGCGGCAGGCCTCCCATGGGAGTCAACAGAGCATGGCACTTTGAGGCAGGACCAACTCGGCTCCCCCAAACAAGGGTGGGCAAGGCAACCCAGCTTGGAGATTGGGCTCCCAAAAGCCAGCTCAAGTGCCAGGTGAAAGTCCTGATCCTATTGCTAGGAGCTCCACAAACAGACCAAGTCACACGACTGCCACACACATTCAGTGGGGCTAGATTGATCCCATGCAGACTCCCTCGCTGTCTGTCCGCAGTCAGTGAGCTCCCAGGAGCTCAAGCGAGCTGTTTCTGTGGGTTCTCCTGCCATGACCTTGGCCACACTGGTTCATACAATCCTTCCCCATCTTCTCAACAGGACTCCTGGAGATCCGCCCAATGTTTGGTTGTGGGTCTCTGCATCTGTTTCCATCCGTTACTGGGTGAAGGTTCTATGATGACAATTAGGGTAGCCACCAGTCTGGTTACAGGAGATGGTCAGTTCAGGCACCCTCACCACTATTGCAAGAAGTCTTAGCTGGGGTCATCCTTGTGGATTCCTGGGAGTGTCCCTGCACCAGGTTTCTCCCTAACCCTGAAATGCCCCCCCATCATAATATCACTTTCATTATTCTCCTGCCCCCAACTCGACCGTCCTGATCCTTCATGTTCCCATACTTGCATCTTCCCATCCCACCTCAAAGATTTGGTTTTAAGTTAGAGGAACCTAAGGCAATAAATAAATAAAATGAATTACTGGCAAATAAGAAGATAATCCTCTGAGGGGACTGGAGAGTTGGCTCAATGGTTGAGGGAACTGACTGCTTTTCCAGATGACCCAGGTTTGGTTCCCAGCACCTGTATGATGCCTCATAATCATCTGTAATTCTATTCCAGTTCCAGAGGATCCTACACCCTCTTCTAGCCTCTGGAAACCATGCACATGTATGCAAACACGCATGCACATTAGGTGATAGATAGAGATAGATAGATAGATAGATAGATACATACATACATACATACATACATACATACATACATACATAGATAGATAGACCTTAATAAAAACCAACAAAAGCCAGGTGGTGGTGGTACATGCCTTTAATCCCAGCACATGGGAGGCAGAGGCAGGTGGATCTCTGAGTTCAAGGCCAGCTTGGTCTACAGAGCAAGTTCCAGGGCACCCAGTGCTACACAGAGAAACCTTGTCTGGAAAAAAACAACAAAACCAAAAAACATTAAGAATATGTAGCTCAATGGTATGGCATTTATACAAGGTAGCGGTGGTGCACGCCTTTGCAGTAGGGGCAGTGCAAGAGCTTTCTTTACTGGGGGAGGAGGAGGGAGAGGGAGAGAGTGAAAGAAAGAGGACATCTTGGAGTGAGGGCATGAGACAGGCAGGCAGGCAGGCAGACAGACAGGAAAGCAAGAGAAGAAAACTGGGACCCCGGGCACTTTTAAAGGGTGCTCTTGATGCATAGCTGGGGTACAAAGGCACCTGGCAGCAGGTGATGATGTAACTGCCTGGGCTGCCGAGGCAGGCTGGCCGCTGTTGTGGGAACTGACAGCATGCTGAAGACAATCTCCATTTGACAAAGAAGAAATGCCAAGAATACATAGACAAGTATTTATCTTGTCTTACATAAGGGTTTCCTAGCCCGCTTGTCTTCCCTCCCTCCCTCCCTCCCTCCCTCCCTCTTTCCCTCCTCCCTCCCTCCTTCCCCCTTTCTCGATCTTTTCCTTCCTGGTGCTCAGCAGCATGATGTTTCAGTCTGGGATCATCTGAGGAAAAGGCAAGAAAGAACAGTATATTCTGGGAAGGCAGGCGTTGCTGCTTTGGACAGTCTTCCAGCGGAAATCCCCATGTAGATAGTATCTTCCATGTGTCTGCTCGAAGACCAAGATAAATGGCTCGAGACAGAGCAAAGGAGAGGCTTCTAAAACACCCAAGATGCATAAAAGCTGAGAATCCTGTAGGGCCCAGCAAAGACTTTTATCTCTCCGAGTCATTTCTCTAGGGAGTGTTAACCGCCCCAGATTTAATATCACCCTTGAGTGACTGGGATGCAGCAACTGGTAGGACTTTTTTCAGTGTTTGCAAAGGGTCCCTGGTGCACCAGGAGGCCAATGCCTCAAGAGAAGACCCACAGAAGGCTGTCACAATCTGCAGGATCACAAGGAAGCAGTGTGCACATTGGCCTGGAAAAACGACACGCCAGCATCACAGGTGTGTTTTACAAGCTTTTAGTTGAATCCTCATAAGGGCAAAGTCTAATTGCGGCTCAGATATCAAAGTCATGCTGCACACAGCGCATTGTAGCCCTTAAAAAATTTATGTTGTGTTTACCAGGGCCCGCAGGTTCAGAGCCACGGTCACCGGCTGCCTAATTACTCTTGCATGGTTCCCTTTGCCTCGCCCTTCCATTTGCCGCAGCCAAGAATTATGACCCTGATCATTCCAGGCTGTTTCTTGAGCATAACTAGAAATATTACGCAGTGAGGCCTCCTCCCTTCTGGGGCTGGAATATGAGATATTGGGTAAGCTTGTCTTACATCCGTCCATGAACATAGGGGTGGGGACTTTCTCCCGACAACTCCCACACTCTGTCCTCTTGTGAAGTGCCATCCCTCCTCCCAAGTCTGAATTCTCTTCTCACACTCAGCATGATGAAGAATGAAAACACAGACCCAGTGGGGGCATCTGAAGCAGGAAGATCATAAGTTCAAGGCCAGCCCACTGTATAGTAAGAACCTATCATAAAAAGAAGAAAGAGAGAAGAAGCAGAAAGGCAAGAGAAAAGACAATCCGGCCTTTGCTTGGATGGCCCTCCTCTGCAGTCTCTTGAATTTTAAAAGACATATTCATACAGACACAGGCAAGACTGGTTCTCAGTGAGTGTCAGAAATGTGTCTACACACTGACCAATAGTAAAATTCTTGTTGTGGTTTGGTTTGGTTTTTCCAGACAGCCCTGACTGTCCTGGAATTAGCTCTGTATGCCAGACCAGCTTCAAATTCACAGAGATCTGCCTGCCTCTGACTCCTAAAGGCTAGGATTAAAGACATGCACAACCACCACCAGACTTTCTGAGTTCTCAACAAGGCAAGTCTCTTACAAAGCACACTGTGGCCCAGGGCAACAGGCCTGGCCAACTTCGCTGTTTCAATAGCCAGGGACAAGGCGCCAGATCTAGGTAAATCCTGGAGATCCGCCTCAGAGCAGCTCATCGGGGTCTTAGTACAAGTACAGTTTTCTAGGCTTTGCCAGACACGTCCCCTGCCATGCTCCAAGAAGCTGTTGGGCACATCCATCTGCCCAGGCAGAGGCCTTACCTCACACTGCTCATTTGTCTTTTCAAGAGGTTTGCATCATGAGGTCAAAAGGGGCAAGCCAGGCTGGGTCACCTCAACACCTGCCAAGCGGTGACCTCACCACCTGAGAAATCATCATCCCAGCCAGGAAAGAGGTCAAGAGAAACGTCTGCTTCCTCCAAAATATTTTGCACTATTCCTCTTCCTTCTGCAAGTGAACAGAGGTGAGAGATGGATCCTCCTTCCTGAATGTTACTTCACCGGCCAGCACTCCAGAAAACTCGAGAGTAGGCTTGGTCCTCACCACTTGTGTAGGTTTTTCTCTTCTATGCCCACTTCGTTATAGAATTTAGCCATCTGCACTTTTTACTTTTCATTTCTTTGTAAGTGTGAGTTATGCAGTCATCCTAAGAGCAATCCAGTTCTGTGGGAGAGGCCAGGGGGACCTCCATAGCTGCAACACAGTAGGCTAAGCTGTCTTCAGGTCCTGCACAACTTTACCAGCAATAGATAAATATATAAACAAATAAAATCATAATAGAAATTGATGTATCTGTTGTGAAAAGAGCCTCAGAATTAGATGGTAAATCTTTCCATATGTCACCACACAGAATTTACACTCATCTTTCTACTCTTCGTCTATCCAGTCTGTGGGGTAAATATAATCAGTTAGACAAATTTCCTCCCCTTAATCAGAGCCAGGAACTTGTAGTTGCTCCTTCTTCTATAGGGGCACTGGCTTGTTCCCTGCTTTGTATTATTTCCTGTGAGAGCCCTCCAAGGGGTTCCTCTCTGTTTCGTGTTTTGGACAGAGGTGAGTACCATTTTCCTGTTTAAGGTGTCTTCCACAGGCTGAGTTGGGGCCCTTCACTGGGAACCTTCTCCCCAGGTGTCTTGGGCCATGGGAGAGAGAAGGGTGGAGGAGGGGGCACGGGCCTTTATGGGGAAGTGGAGAAAACTCACTGCACAGTTAATTAGAAAGTGCCATGAAGCAAGTCCAAACTTTATGGCTTTCCAAGAATTGATGATGGCTCCTAACCAGGCCTGCCCGTCCCCATGCAGGTGCGTGCAACCTCCAGGCCCATATGGTTTCTGGCTGCACTGGGCCTCATTCTTTTTTTAGCCTGGGATCCTGTAACTGAATATCCTTTAATAACTTTTTGTAATAATGCAGCTTGGATCAGCTTCTAGGTCCAACCAAGCTCTGTTTCCTACAGACTCCTGCTGTCCCCCTGGCACACCTGCAGGGAGACACGGCCCCATGGCTGCCTCCCAGGGCAATAGCCACATCCTAGACTTACAAAGAGCCAGCTGTGTGTTCAGAGGGAGGAGGCCAGGGCACCACACTTTTTCTCCAGCAGTAATTTGTTTCACTTGAGATCTGCCAGGAGGCCTGGGGTCCTGTGACTTGGAAAGAAAAAAAAAACAGAGGCCAGAGTTCTTTACTCAGAAATATTTTATGGTAATGCATAACACACAAACAAGGCCTAACTTACACAAGCTGATTTATAGGTACCCCTGAGAGGCCCAGGTCACTTGGGAGCCTGAGAATGGCTGGGCCAGCCTTGTTACCAAAGGAATTCTCTCCTCTCTCCTTTAGCTGCGGTATATGCTCCATTTCTGAGGCCCTCCTCTATACCCCCTCTGTCCCACATCCTGTCTAAGGGTACCATACCTTTCCTGGGTGCCTTTCTCCTTGGTGGCAGTGACTGGGAAAAGATGGGAAGGAGTCCCTTGTGACTTAGCTTCAGACTCAGTTGGGTGTCTGGTCTTATTCCTGCAATGGGGCAAGCCTGGGGCAAGCCTGGAGTTCCAGCGAGTCATACTCATTTGATTCTCAGGGGTCTGTCTGAGCCTCAGAATGTCCAAGGAGCATTGCAAAGATTTCTGTGCCTGGTTTCTCTGCACGAGATTGCAAGTGTTTGGGTGAGGGCCAGAGTATACTTGGTTGGGCAAATGACTCTCCTCAGGGATTCCCTTCAAGTAAGGCAAAGCAGTGGTCACCTAATATGCATTGGTGCTTTTCTCTCTGAAGATTTTAGGTGTGAGAGAGAAGGGTTTGCAGGACCCCCTGAGTGTGTCCTTTATGTCACAAAACACAAAAGCAAGAGACAGAAGGGAAACATGAATCTGCATTTTGGCAATCACCTAGGACTCTAGAAATAGACTTGGCAAGGTCAAGAAAGAGGTAAGCACATGTGTCTTGGCCCTGAAGCCTGGAGCAGGAAGCAAGGAGTCAGACATAGCTGCAAATGTTCTGGGAACCCCTTACCCATGAAATGACCCTGTCACTCAGCTGGAGCCATGCAGACACTATGACCCTGGAGGTGGATGGAAAAGAGTAGAACAAGGAAAGGGGTTTTGGGTTTCTTGTGTTTACTCCCACTGTGTCTTAGTTTCTAACACTGATTGTGCCTAGTCAGTACCTGTACAGTAGTGGCAGCTATACACATTTATCTGCACACAAGGACTAAGGAATCATGCTGTTTATTCTACCTGTATTAGCTCACTGAATCTCCAAGCTATGCTAACTGGTAGTTACCATCATAGTCCTCATTTTACGAGTGAAGCTGAGATGTCTTGAGATCATTTGCTTCACCACTGCTAGAAAAGGGAGGATTGGATTCAAACCCAGCTGAAGCCTTCTTTACTCTGTGGTCCTGCGTTTGCTCTAGGAATCCAAGCCTGAAAAACACCAGGAATCATATTGGCATTTGTGAGTGTCCTCAGAGCCCTACTGCATGCTGTTTTCCCCATGGGAATATCTTCATCCTTCCACACACAAATCATGGGGAAGGCCAGACAGAGGGGTGAAGCTAAAGCCCAATCTGGGGTTCTCAGGGTTTCTACACTATACCCCCTTTAGATGCTATTTCCAAGAAATAAAGCCCAAAGGAGGCTTCAGCTGGATTCTCTGCGGATACTTGGGACAATGGCTCTCCTGTACTGCCTCCTCTCACTCCTTAAGATATGTATAGGGATAACTGATCCATTGGATTGGTTTTGGATAAGACAAGAGCATGATCGGACCCAGGGCAGGAGACTGCCCCCTGCAGACTCCAGCCTCTCTGCTATTTACCCAAGCCCAATTCTGGGCCTGAGCTTCCTCCAAATGATGTCTTAGACCCTTGTCACCTACACAACTGCCTTGTGGTATTTACAGTACAGACTTGAAGACACATCTATCCTCTTTGATTCTATGGACATAAGAAGAGCTTCCAGGCAGATGTCACAAGAGAAGAAGGTTCCCTTTTCCACTTCCAGCTGCAGGTCCAATGTGTCCACCTGCCTCTGTCTCCTGGGAGCCAGAGAGAGGGAGAGTGACAGCTTGGAGTAACTGCTAACAAAGCAAGACTTGATGCAAGCTGCCTAGACAGACACATTATCTGGGAGTAAAGGCTGAGCCTTCAGAAAGATTTACAGCAGGATGTGAGGGGGAGTGGATCTCAAAGTGTGTGTGGCGTGGGGAGAAGCCAAAGGCGCTGAGCCGTGCTGTAGTTGAAGAATGAATGAAGATTACAGCCTTTTGTTTCCTAAGCAACATTGCTGAGGCAAGCTGGCCTGCTGGCGGCACAGCGTCTCCCTTGCTCATTTAAGACTCCTTCATTCCATTTAGCTATGAGTGCTAGTACTAGGTCCCTGGATTATACTTAAGCCTAAAAAATTTTTGGGAGAGTCACAGATATACTGTGTGTGTGTGGTTTTGGGTGAGGTGTGGTGAGGATGAACTGTGTGGTATGTTTGTAGTATGATATAGAGTAGGGGATGGTAGTGACTGTGGAGCATACATGCTGTGTGTGACTATGTATTTACAGTGTGTGTAGTGTGCTTTGTGGTATAGGTGTGGTATGGCTCATGGTGATGAGGATGGTGTAGCAGTGATGGTGATGATGACTATGATGTGGTGTGAGTATATATGAACACCCGTACAATGCAATGGTGGGTGTGGCTTTCCTGCTACCATTTTCTTATATGAAATCATGCATGGTTGCAATCAGCCAGCAATTCTTCTAGATTTATCTTGGTATACAGAACCCACCACACATGAAATTAGTCATTTTTCATGGCAGGTCGAAAATGCTGTGAGGTAGGGGTTCTTGGAACTCATGTATATACATCAGTGATAGGTGCGTGCATGTGTGTGCGTGCGTGTGTGTGCGTGCGTGTGTGTGTGTGTGTGTGTGTGTGCTTGTACATGTGCAAGCATGCACAAGTGCTCTTGTCTTTGGTTCCTGACTTAAATGCAGACAGGAACAGGTAATATTACCCAAGGTATGTGAATGAGGAGACATTCTTAGGGACTGGACACCAGTACCTGTTCCCCAGGTCACCTCTTTTAGCCTGTGATGTTGCCATAGCACCATCCATGCTTTCTACCAGTAGACTTGGCATCTGAGTGAGGCTGAGGCTCTCAGGTCTTCTTGAGTTAATTAGATCATCTGTGATCTGCCCTGGCAAGGCGGGGGGGGAAGCAAAGAATGAGTGTTGGGGGGGCGCTATCCCATTCCGTCCCTGTTAGCAGAGCCCAAGCTTCCCCCAGCTAGTTCCCAGTCAAGTTCTGGGAGCCTTGCACCTCTCCAGGGTTTTTTGTTTTGACGTCAGACTTTCAGCCTTCAGTTTTCTTCTGATTCCAACATTTTCCCAGAATTGAATTTACTCTGTCATATTGTTCAGAAGAGACAAAGACTTATTATTATTATTTTTGATTACTTATTTCTATAACCAGCCACATATCAAGTTACCTTATTTGTTCTAATCATTTGTCAAAATCTGACTCTCTTACAGTGTGTAATTTAGTGGTACAGGAAACTGTGATAATCCAATTTATTTCTGTCTTGAGTGTAATTGTATATACCAAAAATGTATGTGGGTTTCTATGGTCTTTGAACTCAAAGTACATCTACATGTTGGTCCGTTTTCCCCAGCAGTGTGCACATTCGAACAGAAAATTCAAGCCTTTTTTTTAAGGGTGTATTATTCTGTTCTGGAAAAGGAAGCATGCCTCACTGGTTTGTCCCCTGTGTCTTGTAGGCCGGCTCACAATGCAACCGTCTCTATCCTTTCTTAGCACAGAGCGGACAGATAGCTTGCCTTATAATTTTCATTCGTTAGCTTGATATCTGGTCTATTGCTTTCAGCCTCCCTTGCCTATGGAACTCCTTTATTTCGGTAACTTTTCAAATCTGAAAGCAATTCCTAAAAATCTTAGACTGACACCCACAGTTTGCAAATTTCTGTTTCTTCTGTTTCTTGGAGAAGGAGTCAGATTTGCTCTGAATCATTAACACAGTTCTTTGGACTTCTAGTATGATTGTCCTCCAGGCCATAAGACACTTCTTACTTCAAACCTTTTTCTTAACTACTAGAGCTTTTGAGACCCCGCAATGAATAGTGTATCACAGGCACCAAGGCCAATGTGACTCAACCTGGATTTGTTCAAGTGTCCCCAAATCCCAGCTGGCAGGCAGCCCGTACAATTGCTTCAGTGACCATGGTGTCCAAATCTGCAACACATTTTGTTTTATGTGTCTTGGGTGTCAAGTGACCTCTGACATGAATGAATGCTGTCTATGTGGGACAACTGTGGCAGTGATGACTGTCTACAGGACCCGACATGGCATTCTTGGATCTGTTTGTGATGACTACATGGCCATCCCCTGTCCTGTTTGATCCCTGTGCCAAATCAAGAGTGACATCAACAGGATAGCCATGAATGCTCTCTGAGGAGCTGTATGGCGAGGGTGCTTGCTGAAGCAGGCAGCTAAGCTCAGCAAACACCTCTTCAGCCTGATAGCTGTCTGTCTTTTACAACTAAAATATGATAGATGAGTTGAATTACAAGATACTGGCATATAAAAAAATCAAAGTTTTAATATATTTTAAAAGCATGCTTTTTTGGCTTGATTTCTCCTCACTCCCATATTATCAAGTGTTCTGACTTATACATTATACATTTTTACATTTAAAATATGAGCCAAGTAAAACATTTTGCTAACAACAACAATAAAAATGACAACAAACCAGGGATTTGTTTTGACAACTTTTACCTACGTGCATACAACCATCCATTTAAAATGAACATAAACTCTGATCACCTGACTCACTGGGACTACAAGCTACTTATAAATACTTATACATCTATCAGGACAATGGAACACAGACTAATCAGAACGCAGCTGTGCTCATTCTTGTTACTGTGACAAAATACCTGAGAAATTCAACTTAGAGGGGAAAAGGTACGTTACAGATCATGGACTTAGAACTTTTGATTCGAGGCTGACTGATTTCAATGCTCTGGGAGCTTTAATGTTGAAAATCATAATGGAGGAAGTGTGTAATACAGGAAGGCTGTTGGCCCCCCAGCAATCAGGGAGAATGAGAGAAATAGAGAGATACTGTGGGTCATGCGCCATCAGGGACAAGATTTACTCAAGTCTATACCCCAAGTGGCTGTTGTCCATCCAAGCTGTACTTCCTACTGACCCATTCTCTGTGTCTGTGTTAACCCATGGAGGAAGCTACCGCCCTTGGGATCCACCCATCTTTCAATGCCCTTCAGCACACAGGTCTTCTGGGAGCCTCCTCATATTTAAACTAATAGAAGTAGGTAGTCTAAGGCAAGATCACAGTGATGCCTTCCTAATTTCAAGTAGAACTGGGAATTTCAAAACAACTGGGATCTGAAAACAGAATGTCAGAATAAAAAAGATTAAAATTTATTTATTTGAATTTTTCGAGACAGGGTTTCTTTGTGTAGCTTTGTAGACC